GATCAGAAATCAAATAAGAATAAGCAGAACTCACTATCCGGCCAAAGCTCATGTGGAGTTGCTCGACGATGAACGTTCGTTTCTTTGATGGGCCGTACAGGCAAGAAATGTACAGTGGTGATAGTAGCGTGGTGATGCGACGACATCCGGGGGCATAGATTAAGCTCTAAAGACAGAAGATCTAAAGAAATTTTCTACCAAGAACTTCTGTCTGTCTTCTCAGCTGGTAACTGTGCTCTAATGTGACACGAGGTATATGTACTCAGTGCTGTAAAATCGATTTCAGTAATTTGCCTTTTTCTAGCCCGTTTCTTCCGAAAGGATCGTTTTACTTTAGCATATCGATTGAATCCATCGGGTTATTCAGCAGGCTTTGCCGTAAATCAATTGCAAATAATCGAGAGATTATTATCGAAGGTCGCGATAGACTCGTGTTTGAGTACTGCTATTCGGTGTGAGCTTCCGCCATAAACGGTTGGGTCGTCGTCACGACTCGAACTCGTCTACAGAACCCGAATAGTAAGTAAATGGTCGTTGACTTTGAATGCTTGTATTTCGAGCTTAGAGCGTTCCTTCGGGTGAATGCCGAACTGAAGATTGACGACGACGACTGATTTACGAATTTACACACAACCGTTGATTCCTCGCAGTCCCTCGAAGAAGAATGTTGCATTCTGAAGCATACCGCACGCTCATGCTCTGCTCTTTGTTGAACCTCGTCGGTCGGTATTCGCTGTTGCCAAAGAACACCGTTAATGCGGCTCGGGCGACCATCGTCTCGTTTGTTCGATAGTAGGAGCTGTTGTAATTTAGCATAGGAGACAGGACTGGCAATTGGTCTTCTTCTTCTATACCCTCTTTTGACAGTGGCTATTTGCTGTGTGCCACGTTCGATTAAACGTTTGTGGTATTTTACGTCTGGTAGTTAATACATTAGGCCTTACTTCAGACAAGCTACTCCCAGCACAAAACGAACTTAGATTCGAACCTGGACCACTACCTGTCATTGAATTTAGTAACTCTCTGCGCTATGGAGACTATAACGTTTTATTAAAGTTGTTTATATCGGTACGTTGACTACGACTTTGTTCACTAATAGGCAACCGTTTTTGTTGGCGCACATAAATATGCAAAAGAGCCTATGGTGGTGTCAAACGATGCCCTTCGCCAGACACTGATTCGCCGGCCCGGCGGCCTCATTGTCATCGCCTGGAGTGGAAGGACTCACCAAAATAAAGAAATATAACCGCCGGAAGAAGCGATATAACTCGTATCTCGTAGGTGATTACAAATTTTTTTGAAGGAACATCAATCGATTTCATTGACAATATAGTTCCTTGTGCAGCGTTTACCAGCTTAGCTACTTCTGGGGTCTTACAAAGAGTGCAGGCGATCACTAATCTTTCCTCGACATCCAAAGCTGCGTGATTGTCGTCAAGTGCGTTCCTCGCTACTGAATAGGTGTCTTCAACGAGCAAAAAAACTGCGACCAATTGTTTCGGTGTGCCGCGAACTAGTTTATACAGCGTGACAGGCCTATTGACTTCGGTTGTAGAGGTCTGTCGATCGACATCGTTAGTCAACCGAGCGCGCCAAACCTTGTAAGTGTCCATTTTTTCATCATACGTTTGCGGGTTAATGCCAGGTAAGCCGCAGCGTATGTAACACAGCCATTGTTGCTATTTAGCGGCAGGCCAGGCCCAGCGTTGTTACTGTCGATGTATAGATGGGCGCTTTGCACGCCTATAGGATTGGTGCAAAGAGAGCGGCTAGGCTCACCGCAGGCGTTATGAATTTGTCGGTCGATTCCCGATAAATGATTGTGTGCAAAGACTCCACTGCTCATCTGGTTGCTTTCCTCCACTTTCTCTCCCTACTTCAGAGTCTGGCAATAGCGCCATAGAATGCGACATGATGGAAACGTCGATTTAACATGTACAACTTAGACGATCGTTAACTCGTACAATGGCGTTGTTTTTTGGCACCCCTTGTCCGTCACGGAGGCCTATTTATGAATGCCCTACTATTCAGGCTGTAGCACGCTACGCTATCTGGTCCATTAAGCGCATTGCAGTTCCCGTGAGAGCTCAATGGGTGACGTGGTTAGGTGCTAGTCTTAGGTACATATAATAATCCAGATTCGAATCTGCTTCGAACCGGCCGTTTGCTGGAATGTGTAACGGTGGTGCTGGAAAAAAAACTTCATTTAGATTTAGCGCAGTTCTTGAAGCTTATTGTGTGTGTTGGCAGGTTACCGTAAAGGCAAGTGTTGCAAAAGCCTCTCGTTTCCGATTGGGACAATTTGCATAGACACTAATGAACTACATATATTCAGCATCATAGATAATCCATAGTCCATACACACTTCTGCTACTCGTGCTAGCTTTGCTGGTGGCATGTCACGGCGCGATGCTGCTAGTGTTTCTTGGCGTGGAACACGCCTTTTCTGAGGCATAGGGGTACCCGATAAGTCGCAGCAGCACTGATCGTTTGTCTTGAAGGTGTCGAATGTACTCTGTTGTAGATTCACTGTACCTTTATTTGGTAAATAATTTTCTATAAGCAAAACACGCCTCATATGGTCGAGAAACTAAATGGCGCGCTCTTTGGTTTATTATTTCTCTTATTACATCTCCTAGTGTTATTTGTTTTCGCTGCTGCTTCGGCGCAGCCTACTTATTACTATTATTATTTTATCAAAGTGCTCTGTGATACGATAAAAAAATCATACAAATCCTGATCATGGTGTTGTGACACAACGGTAACTTATTTCCTAATTAACATAATTCCGGGGGACTTTAGAAACAATGCAAACGGCCGCTTTTCCCTATGATTCAGTACCCGCGTAATTCGATTCGGTTCGTGCAACATTTTATTGGCGATAACATGTCGGCAGCACTCTACGTACGAGTATGGGGCAATAAATTCGACAGATATTGACTATATCAACAAATGACAACACAGTTGTAACGGGGACCACAATGCGGGCTATTTATATCATCAGTCAATACACTGTCGCATGCATATCCATTTTTAATCCTGTACTAGTCAAGGCTGTATTTTAATACAGCTCGTAAAGCGAAAATGGCGTCGATGGCTGTCATAGAGGGCGCTGAATCGATCATTTTTTTAGTCTGTCGGACGAAATAGTGCTGCTCTGAGAAATTCAGTTGTTTTCGCTTTATGCGTAATAATGCTAACAATATCAAATATCGACACGCCACTAACAATTGGCTGTGTTCTAGTAAGTAACAAGTAAGTCCTCATTTCGTCCTTTTTTACTTATCATCATCTACTTCGTTCAAAGGACGATGCATGCTTTGCTAGGGATGATAGTTGAAATCGAATACAAGTAAAAATCGTCACTTCGCTATTTGACCGAAAAAAAAAATATAGATCGATACGTTTTTTTTTTGAATAGCAATCGGTGAAACAGACGCCGTCGAATATGATAGCTCAAACCGTCCGTATAACACAATAATACAGTATAAGGTCTCCTTTTATATAAAGGAGGGGGTTTATATAAGGGTTTATAAATACTTCCAATATATTATAACTGGACTAGTCTGGTCACTTGCCATGAAAACAAATTGCTAACGGAGCCAAGAATGGCTGGCTATATCTGGAAAGGTGATGAACACACCATTACGCAGCTGATTTCTTGAAATTTCAAATAAATTTTTAAAAGGGCTACCCGTGTGTAATTTGAGGGGTGTACGCGTATAATCCTCTTCGCTTTATGGGTCAACTTAGCGGGTAGACCTCGTACATAGATTTATGGGAAAAACCATTGCCACATTGTTGCTATGCGTTTTCTGAAAATGTTTTTGGAAACTTCAAATCATACTCAAATGAGAGTTTTGCCCAACCTTAGATTGTTAAAGCTTCCGTGAGGTTTATGATTTATAAACGAAAAGTTTAAAATTGCTTTATATGAACATGGCGTTATATACGCCCATCTGCACCACTATTACACAATTCATATATCATGGTACATCGCAAAAAAAATTGCCGTGAAAACCGAATTGATAACTGAGTCACCGACAAACGCTATTGTAAGAACTTACGTATATATATATATATATATATATATATATGTATATGTAAGTGTCGTACAAGATACGCTGCACTGTTACTTTATATGCTTTATATTAATTTACTGATTTTCTCAATGAGGAGACGCCTCCGACTTTTGATGTCAAATTATCTTGATAATATACTCATTTGACTCAATTGGTTTCTTGGAAGCAGAAAGTTAAGTCACAGAAGTTTTTTAGACATGAAAATAGATAACCATGACCAGTTGTCGTCATAACTTTACTAGGACGCTAAAAAGTGACGGCGCTAAAAAAAGAAGATCAATTATGGATTAACATAATAACATATATCTCTAAAAAGTTATAAATAATTTAAAGTTGGCCTCTACTTGTGTATCATAGTTATTTTAGGGACATTTTTCCGTTCGAGTTCGTTTAACGCTGTGATCACTTCTCAGATAAAGGAATATTGATTTTCTTTTTTGCTTTTTCGACAATAACCTTTTAAGCCGTTGGCCTCTAAGATTAAATAATGTATTAATATTTTCCCAGTTTTTAAATAAATTCCTGATGTACATCAGGTTAGGTTAAAAGTTTCTAAGCAGGCCGCGATAATGATTGTTATAAAAAGCTCTGCACCGTCACTTTCAGTACACCTCTCCTAGAGGCACTAAATTATAATTAAAATTAAACTTGAAGCTAAAGTTCGGTACATACTTATTCGGTATGACGTGATTAACTGACCGCAAAAATTTGAAAACAATCTGAGTCCAATTGTTTATCACAAGTTCTGAAATAGTCTTTGACAACAATAACAGGCTAGCTGGGCTTTCTTATAACATACGGGCATCGTTATGATAGGTGTGACGTTCGTACACAAGTTAGTTCAATTTTCAAAACCCTTATTCAGCCATGTGCGAGTTTGAATCCAGTTGATTTAGAGCTGGACGAAACGTTACCTACCTGTATCGTAGAGATGAAGTTTTCGCTTTTGATTGATGCCGTTTTGCGTATCGATTGGTGTAAAAGGCGGCATATATCCAGGGATTAACAGCCGAATTCAACGAGGCTAGTAACAAGAGAATCATAAACATCGGACTAACTTGAGCATTGTCCACCGGCAGCGTGTATGCCCGAAAAAGTTCAGCCACACAAAATGGACTCCAACAGAAAATGAATGCTAGCACAATTGAAAATGTCATTTTCATCAAACGAATCTTGGCTGCCGTGAGCTTCTTGCTTGAAGCGGCAAATCCACTCGAAGTGTTTCCGTAACAGGAAGTTGTTCCTTGAGCGAACTGGGGAACTTGCGTTGTGCTAAGAGGTTGCGACTCATTGCATATGTAGCTCCGTTGGATACGCAGAATTATAATACACATGTACCCGTAACAGAAAAGCATCAGGGACGCTGGTACGCCTAGAATAATGACCACGAAGCTGGTCACATAGATTTCCATGCCGTGCGGATGCCACGAGAAATCTGCCCGACAATCATATCGTACGGAAACAGTTCCTGTCGAATTAGACTCAGCCATCGGGGTGTTTACGCCTTGGCCATCAATGAGTTTGTCATTTAATCTAATCCTATTGTTATTAATTCTGGTGGCGTTGTTGGCAATAGGTGAGGCAGTATACGAAAATATGAAAAGTTGTGGTAAAGCGAGCATTGACGAAAGCAGCCATGCCAATGCGATAAGCAATTTGGCAAACTTCCGATAACCGGCACGAGATTGATGACTATTGAAACCGTGTGAAAAACGCTTCGTTTTACCCGAACTGCCACCGGAAAGGGAGCCGTTCCTTTTGCATATTAACTTCGATGAGGACATTTCGGTTGAAGTTGCCTTCTCAGTTCGCCGGGTCGATGATGAACGGTGATTCGCGCGCATCCCCGCCTTCCATTGAGTGTGAATGGCACGCATAGATACTAGTCGATCGAGTGACATACCTGTGAGAATGTATGTGCTTAGATAGAGAACAAGTACTTGAGCATATTTGACAAATTTACATAAAAGCGCACCGCCGTAGAAGCGAGCCGTGATGTCCCAGGCGAGCTGGGGCAGTATGTTTAGCAGAGCAACGAGAATGTCTGCTATTGACAGGTGCATCATAAAAAGTTGCACCCGGGATAGAGAGCTGCTGCGTCTTGCCCTCTTAGAAACTTTGCCGTACACGGAACGCGCGCAGAAGCGATACGACCGGCTCCGGAGAAAGACCGCCCATAGCACAAACATGTTAGATGACAACGTCATAACAAAGATTAGCAGAAGTGTCGAACACTTCACCGACGACACCCAGTCATCGGGTTCTAACATCACCATCTCATCTTCGGTAACCTCTTCAGAACTAACCATTTGTTGGTCAGTCAAGTGAATTGTTTACGATTGCTAGCGCCGTCTCGAATTATTCGTTAGCCACATTGCGTTAAGCTGTTGCAAAGTTTTCACGTGTTCTCTGATTGTATCCATCTAGAAAATAAGGATTTGCGAGCACCGTCCAGCATCGATCACTCTCTTCAATCGACCGAAGTAACTCCGAGCTCTCGAACTTTACTCTAGCTAGATAGACGGCATACGCCGATGGCGGAGTGCTCCGTATGATCAAAACGCCACCTGTGGCTTAATCCAGAACTATGTAGGACGTATACGCGTGTATGTGTGCGTTTGGGTCTTATACGTGTTGCAGAAAAGGAAACGCTAGTGGGTGTTTCTTGCCCGTCGGTTATAAATAGTATTCGTTTGCAGTAAAGAATCATCTTTTTAAAACACTTGGATTTTTGGCTCTCAGGGGTCTTACATACATACATACATACACGCCTTTGCGGCCTTTTTGAGCTACATAACTCTTGGCCTGTGAACAGTACATACCATGTAACTGAACACTAGTGCTATGGCGTCGTTTGCAGGCCTGTAATGTAGAAATTATTGAAAAAGTTCCTTGCTCGGCTAAAATTATCTTGCAGAAAAATATCCATTGTTAAACATCGACATGCTACATCATTATAATCGTAAATTGAGACAAAACGTTAGCTTTTTCAATCCTGTATTTGTACGAGCTCAAAAAAATAAAAACCTTTTGCATTAGTATGTTAGCATAATCTTATACATTTATTTAATGTCAATAGCCTCTATGCAAATCCGTCCGCAACATATCTGTAAAATTGAAGAATATTTATGCTACAGGCTGGCCTTAACTTAATTTTATCAAGAACTACCTTTGACTTGACATCAATAACAAACAGTAAATACTGTGCATACGCAAAAGTTGAAAATCTGAACAATTCAGCGTTTTAATATGACGTGAGGATTCAATCGGCGTTACGTTTTCCGCTATATTTTACCACGTGAAAAAGATAACTGATTGAAAGTAATAGGGAAGACAGCTGTGACGTGATTGTTGATGACGAAGCAGAGAGAGACTTTGTCAAATCTCCTAACAGGGCTGAACTAGCCGCGACGTTTCGGATCAGAGACGCCGAAATTATCGAGATGTCAAACGAGCCAGATAGGCGAAATCGTGCATCCGCAGAAGAGAAGATGCATATGACGACCCTGAAATACAAAGAACATACTGCCTATTGCTAGTACGGGCCAATCTGGCACGACGTACCGTGCAGAGATTCTAAGGCCAATTAATGCGGAAGCCTATAACATACATTAGGAACGTGATCATGCACAAGATCTCAGAAAGAAATTACTAAGTGCTCTAAAAAGTTATTTCTAGCAAAATTTTGGAATGAGATCCAGGCGTCTTTCCATTGAGACCCCACCAAACAAACGTTGTGAGACGTCTGCTCAACCTCTACGCAGTTTCGTTCGATTCCTGAACGCGGAATTATCGCTTGCTTCTCCTGACGGTCAAACGTTCGAAGTAGGAACGATTTTTTTCCACAAATTAGCTTGTAACGTTGGCTAGGAAATAACGAATAATCAATACATGCAATTTTTCCGCATAAAGCCGCACGGGGCAGCTGAAAGCTGGCTTATCGATTTGCTAATATCACTTAATTAGCAGCCTCAAGAAGATCAAATAGAGGGCCACGTAAATGGCTCGTTTTTCGGATGCACAATGCTTATGTCTGAACGTATCGGACAACTGACAGTTCAGCAAGTTCATACCGAATGGAACTGATCGAGCCAAATGAATTTAATGCTTATACACGCATGTTCAACTTATCAACTGATCAAAATAGGTTAATCGTTGACCTTCACGGTACCGTTAATCATCCAAGAAAAAACAATGTCCCGAATTTATTTATTGGTACGCCACAGCAGGAAGCAGTAGTAATGCAGCAACTTCTGTGCCAGACACATCAAGTCACCGAAGTCCTATTTCCAGATTGGAATCATGCACAGTTTCCTTACCCGAACATGTACCAGCCGCCAGTTTGCAATTTTCCGAATCAATCCCAACGGACGTAGAGCGAGAGAAGTGCTATTTAGGACAAATAGAGGTCAGTCAGCGTCAGCGTCGTTGGCGGCAAATCAAGATGAATTCGAAATCGCGCAGGACAAAAAATGTCTACATTTTAGATCCGACAGCTGCTTGAGGAGCAAACTATATCAAAATCTTATATTAAATCTCGTTTCGGCGGTTGCATAGGATCGTTGTTGAAATTCCAACTCCCAGCACAGATCCGGACTTGTGTAGAGCTGTCATAGCATGACGCTTTATACGTGCACCCCTGAACGATGCGATCGAGACGACGGAGCTTGTAAAGGCAAACTTCCCTAAGCGTTTCACCAACGCGGCTGCAATGCTCTACGATCCGAATTTAGACAGGCGCTATAGCGCCACATTAGTGTGAAAGTTTTTTTTATTTATTATATTTATTAAAGCATTTATGTCACAGTCTAGATCAAAACATTTTGAGAATCTAATGGAGAAAATCCTATATTGGATAACGCTGAAATCAGTCGCCTGGTGACGACACGATGACACGTGGCTTTGGAGGCGTCCATGGGCAATTTTAGAGCTCCCACTATTGAAACAAGGTAAAGAATCGCCTGTTAAAGCCGTCGTTTGGCTAAGATTAAGCCGGCACGATGCGTTCGGACGCACACGTCGTTATACAAACGTTTGAAGATAGATTCAATATAGAATTAAATCATTAAAAGGAAGACTGGATATATTAGGCAGTTTAGTTCTACCTTGGAGATATATGCCCCGCTTATCCTTGGTCAGCTGAATCAGAATCTTATTAGAGATTGGTGAATTACGGTCGATGGTCGAAGTGCGTATCGGGAACAAGAGCCATTTTGCAAACAAATGAAACGCTATTTTTTTACTATTAAAGCAGATAGGACTGGCCGAGTGTGTTTATCGATAACATTATGCGCACAATTAGGTCATGAACGCCGTTCCTTTCTGGCCGCCGCCCACCGAGATTCTGTTACTCAGCTACTATCTGGCGGTCATTTAATTTATTTGGATTTCGGGATTTCTGTGCTTCACTAAACAGGTTTGAAAATATAGCGAAGATGTACAATTAGTGTTTCGGCTATTTCAAGCTTCACTCTTTTTCATTGATCAGCTCACTTTTTTTTTTTTTTTTTTTTTTTTTTTTTTAAAGCACCCTTTGCGTACGATTGACAATGCAATGCAATTTTTGCTATATTACAACCTTCATTTTAGTAAAAAAAAAAAAAAAACAATTGTCTTCAAAAGCGACTTTCACCAACCGGCAACAATTAACGATGAACTCGGCCTTCCAGGCTCGATGGTTAATCGCGTACATCACTCCTTCTCAGATATCTATATATATATTATTATTATTTTTTTTATATTTTACGTATTTTAAAGAAAAACATATGCTTGTGTTTTAATTCACTATTCATATATAAAGCTAAATTTACAATCAGTTCCTTCCCGCCTGACTGTAGAAACAAAAACACTTTCTAAGCTGTTTTTAAACATACTTCTAATACGTGTTGAGGGGAAGATTGTAGTAGCTGATGTTCTAGCAGAACGTTTCTTCCCAATGGTACCTAAATGTTTTAAAACCAAAATATGGAAAATATTTTTTACGATACAGCACTTTTGACGGGTCTCATTAGCTCCTATCGATCAATAATGGTGAGTTGAATAAAAAATGCAATGCACGTAAGTAGAGCAATAAATCATTAATATTTGGGTGTGAAGAATCACAATGACCGAACACAACAACCCTTTCACGCGTACCCTTCGGATGAAGTTTTTGCTGGGAAGTCTATCTAACAGAGCCGCTTTTAGCACTAGCTGAAAGCTCTCAGTGAGTTGAATTGAAGTATAATAAATGCTTTTATATCTACATTTTAGTTTTTGAAAAGAAAATGTTGTTTGAAGAGCAAACATTCAACATGGAGTTCCACTTACGGGGATTTTTTCGCGGTCAATCGACAAATTCTGACGGGCGGAATGAAAATGTACTCGTACCTAAATTAGTATTTCAAAAGAAAAGCAGATATAATATTTACGGTTAAAATGCGTTTTGAATGTTTTTTTTTTTCGATGAAAAGCTTTGCTTAGGACCTCCGAGAGACAGGATGAATAGGCCGTATCGTGTTCGTTGTCTCTCATGCAGTAAAATATGTTCTGGGTTCTTTTTGACTAAAAGTTTTGCATAGGACGTCTCAGAAATAGAAATAAATAGGCCAAAGGGCCTATCAAGTGCAATACAGTTCAAAATTCGGCCGACAGCTCACTTCGTTAATGTACGTTGTTGCAACCTGGGCCAACATACCTTTGAGTAGTCGGACAACGGCTTGTGTCGCCGACATCTCGGAAAATTAATTCAGCCAGCAGTGAAAAGGCCTCCGCTGTTACGGAACTATGGAAGCTGCAAATACATCAACTTTTTTATAAATAGAAAAAGATGAGTTTCTATCTGTCCTAGACCAAAACTTTGCTTAAGGAGTCCCGGAAACTGGGTCAATAAAGGTCTTGAAAAGGATTAACATACATGGCTGAAGCGTCGGTCGACGACCGGCTCCATAAACGTCACATGCATTCCAGAAACGAAAACGATTAACGTACATCGCTCATACATTAGCCTACGACCGACCAGATTCCCGTGTATCCCAGAAACAAAGTCGATTTAGCCAATATTCAAATAGTCCCGCGCTACAAAACTGTAAAAATAAAAAGCACTGATGAGAGACAAAATCTGGAGTCAACTTTAGTAAAAATAATTAAAGTCAATTAGTAATGAGCTATATGGATAGTATTTTTGTTGAAGAATACCAACTAATTTGGATTGAGCAATATAACTAGAATAACTCGGAAACCAATGCTCAAGTCACCTCGTGAAAAGTTTTTAACTTACTAGGAAGTTCCATACCATCTTTTCAGAACGTACAGGTATTTTGTGCCTACTCGTGAATGAATCCACTCAGTTGTTCTATATTAAGCGATGATTAAATTTTTTCTTACAAACCAACATCTTGAAAAGCGATTCCCAGAACTAACGGCGCGATGCCGATGCTTAGCTTAAGCACTCTTCGATCTATACACAACACCCGATTTTAAAATAATCTATGAAAGGCATGAATTCAAACTTACACTGACAGATACTATTAAGGAACATTATCGATTTGGGCTTCTCCGACGATAAAATTGGCATAAAAAGACAACTTTCAGAGGACCAATAAAATCCGCTCGGTACGTAAACTGCGTTAGCTGTTTAGCGCTTAGTCACAAAATATCTAATTTTCTTAAAACCAAAAGTGCCCGACACAGATACTTTCGTTTTCTGGGTTCTTGTGACGACAGTTCATTGCTAGCTTAGCATTTCAAGCTCTCAGTAGAGGGCAACCCAGCTGTGCGGATGTGCCTTCTACAACCGGAATATCCAGTCGTAAGGTTCAGTTAATCGCGTCTCTAGGACCTGAAGTGACGTTTTTTTTTTTAATAAAACCTAATTGATGTAAAACTCTGTATTAGACAATGCTCATCTTCTGTCCATCAACGTTGTCCTTAGCTGAGACCTTTTATTGTTCCCTGCGAACAGCTTTTAATGCTGGGGTCGAGTACTGTCCTTAATGGTGATACATCACGGATAACTACACCGTTCTATGTCTAGCTCGCTTGTCGCCCATGTATCTATGAGAAGTTCAGAAACTTATACGAAACAATTCTGTTTACGAGGTGCCATTCAAGCTGCCGCTACGCATGATGCTCGAAAGTGAACGTAGCTAGGGATCTTCGAAATTTCAATAGGGTTCGAAAATAGTCGGAAATAAAAATCGTTCGCCGGTCGTTTTGAGGGTCTATATTCACACCGTCGCGTCGATGAATTTTTTTTCCTATTGCTGACCTTTGATTTCTGGTTATGATTATCAAGTCGTTTAAAGATTAACTACTACGTTCTGTCGTCGATGTTTTCTTGCCTCTCTGAAATGAATTTGGGTACGCACTTGAGGGATTAAATTATACAACGTTTTCGCCTAATGCCAGATGAGCCCAATTCACCTTTAGCAGTTGGACTATCGTACCATATCTTCGTCCGCAAAAGATAAGGAGCCAGTTATTTAACTTAAAGTTTAATTTTCATCTCGTATACCGTGTTGTCTAGTTTGTTTGCATTGAAACAAGTTATAAGCGGCGAATAACGGACGAGTACGAAACCTCAATGAAAAAAAAAAAAAGTATACTTGTTATCAGGGTTTCGAGAAGCGTCGCATTGTGTGAAGACCTTAACGCCAGAATAGACAACTCAGTAGTTCCGCATCGGACTATAGTAAATTGACTGCACCACCTTAGTTCGTCTCGATCAGCTGTTAGGGTCCAAGCTACTTCGGAACACCATTCCGAACTGTAGTATTTGCTGACTCTGATATGACACAATGATTTTACGCAGCTCCCCGCATGACTAGCTAATGATGAAAATTTTAGAAATTTTTGTATATATGAAAACCCAGTTTATGTTTCATGCTACGATTGTCGGGGCTGATAGGCTAGCGCCTAACCTGTATCGTCATTTAAGTCTTAAAACAACTACTATCGTAGCATCGTGAATGCAGCCGAATTCACCGAACCGAAATAAAGAAAACTAACGCAAAACACTATTACCACATAGATTTAGCAGCTCAGTCCATTGGATTCGAGTCACAATGACAGATAAATAGGGCTTGTCTTTAATAAGACTATACCGTTGACGTTCTCTACGAAATGCAAATTAACTGCATAGTACGACAAAGCGAAGTATATTTAAATACATCTACTACTGTCCAATGGCTAGTCGCTGAGACAAAAAACAGAAGAGTTTTTTTGAGCTTTGTGCTAGCTCTCTCGAGGTTTTTCTAAAATTACCAAAATTCCCTAGATCCTTTCCCAAAATCCCTCTAATCTAATCGTCCACCCACCCAATGGCTAGGTATAACTAAGATTGCCGGGCCGGGCGTTTTTCGCCGATCGGCGCCAAACGGACCAAGCTGTGGTAGATGCTTATAGGGGGATGACTCCACCCCATTTGGCCGGGTTTCGGCCAGGCCAGGTGTCGTTCTATTGAGAGCCGTTCAGCTCACCGCGCCGTCGTTGCCTCAATATGCTGTTCACTGTTCAGGCTTTAAGTAGGATCTGATAGTCCGCACAATTACGGAACATATGCTAACGTCATAGCGAGATATTCTAAATGATGCAAAAAAAAATCTACGAACTAATTTACATTTTCGCTGAAGTGTTTAGTCGAGCTGATAACGCTTAAATTGCTGATCGATAAGGGAAGCCTGAAAAGATAGCTAAGTAATATTGCATGACGCTGTACAGCAAAGTCTGGTCAAAAACACTTGATATTTGAGTTTGCGAAATCGTGGAGTTTTGGTTCTGGGTTTTTTTTGTTTTTTTTTAATCTAAATATAACGTTGTTCGTTCTTAATGCACCTTATGCACGAACCTATAGCAATTATGTGTTAGCAGGAACTCTAACGTATCAAAGAAGAGGATGCAAAGTTCAGCTGTATATTAAAACCAGTGAGAGTTTATCAAGGTCTCGTGACCGAAACCGATACGATTTGTGTCGAGTGGTAAGGTAAGTGCCCTCACCATTTCTTGCGCGGTACGAGAGAGTAAACGGTCGAGAGCGAAGGGTCCTAGGCGGTCCTGGCAGGCGAACTCACGAAGACGGCGGCTTAGGTGTTCGTTCCTTTGCCGTTAATCTCTCCGGCCCTCACGGCATTCTCTTGAAGGTCCGTGTCCCTTACGAGCTCGCTTGGCCCCCAATCCAGTTGCTTCACCCTGCGCAGCTCCTCAGTGAGCGAACGACTGTTTTCCCTCCCTCACATTTTACGAAAGACAGCGGGAAATGTGAAGCTACCAGCAGAAGCAACGTTGCTGTATGCCCCGAACGTGGTTTCTCTTCGGTCGACGGTAGTGCACTCACGTTTATCGGCCAGTGGAGTAGGCCATACCTTTGTTCCAATATGAAAACCGTTCCAATTAGGCGAGCATGTACAGTGAGCGGCATCCGAGTGTGAGTCTGAGAATACATGAATCTAAATATAACGTTGTTCGTTCTTAATGCACCTTATGCACGAACTGGCAACCTTGAGAGCATTGAAGCAAGCGTTATTGTATAAGAATGATGAAGCTTCTTAAGGGGTTTGCGAAATCTATCAGATTTCAGCGCGTATTTGTGAGGCGTATAAATGTGAAAGGACATGTAAACTGCGTCGTAAGTTCCATGGAAGCTCTCTTACAAGCGCAGTGGTCCGATGCAAACGATGCTTGTATAAGTCTAAATGCCTTACTACTAATAAAAGCTAACTAACTTCCGGTCAAATAGTGAGGTGATTCTTAAGTGATTAATATGTTTCGTCGAAAAAAGCATAAGCCTCGCCTCGTGCCTGGCCCACCGCCGGCGCCTTATTTAAGAACAATACCACCAGAAGAGCTGCCGGAGCCTCCGGCGGAAAGAATCGCCCGCCTACAGCTTGAACGCCAAAAGAGTAAAGACTCGAAACCGGCAAAGACCAGGAAAGCTAAACCTGGTCAGGCAGACTCACGTGGCAGAAAGGATGAAAATGACCAGTTCGAAGAAGAGCTTAGTCCCTTCGCCAAAGAAGAAGGTACAGTCGAGCACGAAAAGACTGACGCCGAAGCCACAAGCAAACCCAAATCGACAACTAAGATTGACAAGGATGGCCCCAGTTCGCCACCGCCGGTATCCGTAGAAATTCAGATCGAACCACCGCTCGAAGAGCTGCCCATTGACATCGTGGGTGACGGCGATGAAGAGGACTTAATCAAGGGCGAAGATAAGAAAGCATCAAAGGATACGGAGCAACGGGATAGAAAGGATGGCAAAAAGGATGATGCAAGAGTGGAAAGCGATGCTGATGTCGTTGCACCCAACGGAGCTGAAGGAGCAGTTCACGAGGCAGATGGAGGCGTCGGCGATGCGCCTGCTGACGAAGAGCACAAAGAGGTTAGTGCTAATGGAAAAACCGCCAAAGATGAAACAGGGGCGCTCGAAATCGTTGAGACAAGGAAAGAGAAGAAACGGCGAGGCCTCTTCGCTAGACGTAAGTTTATATTGCTGTTGTTGAAAATTTTGTATAAGTTTTATATTTTTATGTGCATAAAGCCATCGTTTTTGCTTGTTACTCTTTTGCAATCTAAATACAAGTATGATATCCAACGCTATATAAGCACATAATGTAATCGATCTGAAATAGTTGAGCACCTTTATATAACGATAGTCGAGTATACTATGATCGGTTTCCTTTTCACAGTAGAAATCATCAGCTGACTTCATCAAACCAGCTATCTGAAAGAAATAGGCTACAAAGTATTACGCGTCAATTTCTTAGGCTAAACCTGCATCGCCCCATAATAATGTAGAGGTACAATAAGCCTAAAATGAATGTTGTTATACAGCACTGATCGAAAACCAACCTTCGTAATAAACATATAGAAGGTCAGGAAAGGAGTTTTCATTTACGCTTGCTCGTCCCGTATGAACCATCTTAACAAAATCTTGGCCGGCTGAGCCTGGGCGCTTCGCAAGCTCGTATCTACGCCTACATTATGCATTAAGCACAATCGCTTGCAAATGCTTAGTACTTTCATTTTAGCGACTGTTTCGTTTCGGTCCTTCGTGGCCTTTCATACAAAAACACACCTGAGAATCGTGTAGTCCCTTCTCGAAATGCGTGGTTCGATGGATTTTGAGTTAATTATAATTGCTAGTTGCAAGGTAGATGTCGCGTTTTTTGTACGAGTAACAACCTGATCTAATACCCTAACAGCCCAATAAGGAAAAGCTCTGGTATCACACCTGTAAATCAGTTCAGATCCCGATAGAGCGAGTGCCTGTAAGTTGCGATAAAAGATACGTAGTTGCTTACGCGAACACACCGACGAGTATAGCGACGCACCCGGCTCTGTAAATATATGGAAGTAATATGCCGAACGTTCAGAATGCGCCTAAAAGATGTTGGACATCTTTCACACCCGCAAGGTGTAAGGTTTTAGATAAACAGCTTAATCTAAACAGGGCGCGAATCCTTCAAAGTTTAGGTTGTTTAATAAATAAGTTCACAAGTAATAAGACATTTATAATTAAATATGGCACAAGTAAACCTAAAATACCTATTCTAAATAACACATATACCATTAATTTCTCGAGAATTTTTTCTCAAAGAACCTCGTGAAACTTAACAATTATTTGCATTGTATACCGCAAGCAGGAAGTGCGTCGGAATACGGTCTAAAGTTAATAAATTTCACTCAATGCAAAAATTGTTTTTTGTTGCAATTTTGTTTGTTGCAAAAAAAAAAAAAAGTTGATACCGCGCCCACGTAACTTTCCAAAAGAGGCGGAGCATATAATAGTACACTATATAATTTATTGACATATCGTATCTATAATAATAATTCAAGCTGTGGCGCACCCTGTCACACTGTAGATCTACAACACATCCAGAAAAGGGCTAGAAGTTCCTGCGACCTTTTCGTGCTTGAATAATGAATCGGAATCCTCTCTTGCGTTAGACATACTTTGATAGGCATATTGCTGCGCCGAATGAAAGTATCGCGCAACAGCGATGCCTTCACTGCTATGCGGGGCAGACCAAAGCTTCTGCTGTGAATAGGAAAACGTGAAACAGACAATATTTTACGTTTGCGTGTTTGCATCAGACTAACAGATAAAAAAAATATAGAGCGTGGGTCCTATTATAGACATGAACGGCACTGCACGAAACACTGTCGAAAAGCAAGTAAATCTTTTTTGCTTTGTTAAAAGTTACCCCAGCTAAGCTTCCTTTACACGTTTGTTTTTTTGAAAAGATCAAAAGTATCGATAAATCGATGATGGAAACACGTGGACACCATTTGGCTGATGGGATTTTTATCCTGCAGTGTTACTATGGAACGTATTCCGCCTGTACGTTATCATTGCCCTATACTTTTTTCTACAATGATATGAGAAGGCGACAAATCCGGCCTTCTGATTTAACAATAATTGAAGGCAGATACTTGTTTTATGTATGTGGCGTAGTTAAAGATAAAGGTACACACACGATAAGCCACAATAGTTTCATGTCTATGCAACTTGAAATGCGTTAGTACATCTAATTTGTGAGGTATGATTAAAAAAAAAAAACTTTACATTACACATTTGTAGAATTAAAGAATGAGAATATCATAGTTGTGTAAACTACTTGGCAATAATTCATGCTTAAATCTACGGCAAAAAGCTAGAACGGCAAGGTACATTCTGTATACATATAATAGATAATAACTAAATTCATTTCCTAATTCGCCAGTTTCCGAACGGATCAGAGTTCTGATGTTGATACTACGATGCATCTGTCCGGCGTTTGAACGACTATTCTTCTTATATCAAATGATCAACAAATACTAGTTGCCTTTGAAAAATTTTAAATTGTTATTATCGAATAGGACAGCGGCTTCACCTGTCATCCCCTCAACAGAGCTACCGTATCTGAGAATAATTTCATTAGTCTCAAAACAGGATATATTCAGCAGAGTAATACAAACTGGAATGCATTTGTTTAGTATTTTCCTGCCTTTGAATTCGGTCAGTATGGCCTTTATAACTAGTCGATGCAGAGCAAAAGAAGGAACCAAGAAAAAATTTTCTGCATTATCTTGTTGAGAAAATATGTTCTTGCCAAGCTTGACCAGGACGAATGGCCGCTCACATGTGCAGGACATTGTTTCCTACATATGATCTCAAATTTTCGCGAAAGCACCCTTTGAGGAGACATGTAAAAACATGTAAAAGATGATTGTAAAAACAGACGAGAATGTTCAACAGATGAATTTTTTTTACTTTATATAAAATGCGTGCATATCGGGCGCTCTGTAGTTGAATATTCAGCCCTTCAGGCCAAGCATTGTGAAATAAGTAATTTAAACCTAAGTGAAGCACTTGGACCTCGGAACACAGGGCTACCGCTAACGCTTCATAGATTCGATTCCCTACAAATTGAACGGCCCATCTGTGACCGCATATTGGTGAACGCTATCATTGTGCATGGCCTATATTAGGGCTTTAGAATCAACGACAAGACTTATCTCATAGCGCTCATCTTTTTTTCCTAGAAGTTTCTGTAGCGTAAAAACTTCATCTGGCTAACTTAATTTTGAACATTTGACTAAATGAACCGTCACGATGTAGTTGTAGTGATTAAATTTTCATGAGAGATATGTCTTTTGTTCCAAATACAGTTGTAGCAATTTCTGTCGTCAAGAAGGAAGACTAATTCAAGATTCACGCCTTCGACGAAGGATCACCAGTTATCGCCGTCACAATTGAAACTTAACTAAAAATAACTGGTAATAATCTAGTAATCATGAGAAGAACTAAGAAATAAACTGGGCTGGTAAACGCTGCTCTGACGGATGGTTTCTTTTCGTCTTTTTCTGCGAATGATTTATCCTACGTTTTATGTGGCGCCCGAGTGGGCACATCAACCTCTGAAGCTCCCAATGCACTAACGTGAAAGTTAATCACCGAAGCACTCACGGTAAGTAATGTCACTTTTTCTACGACGGGTGACGGCTGTGGCCTATGTTTTGGAAAAACATTTTAAGTGCGCAGTCTGCTGTGCAAAGTACAATATATTGGTGCAAGAAGAACCTCATTTCAGAGTTGAAAATACATACATAACGAAAAATGAAACGTTTGGTAAATATTTTTTCTAATCCAGTGAATGCGTTCAGCGAAACCAGCCAGAAATAGCAAATTTTGCTAATGATACGAAGCAATTTTTTCATCTTGTTTTCTTTGACAACGGCCCTAGTTCATCTCTGTAACTGTACTTCCGTGCAGCTTCCAAAAAAAGCTATGCTGATTCAACAACTAATACGGTTTGTGGAAACATCGTACTCACATCAAGCCATCTGAGTGATGCGATGGCTTCCTCATGCTTTCGCTTTGTCTGGGTGGAGCCGAGCCCCCAAGACCTCATGCGCAGTACTGAACTGAATCAAATAACCCGGGCGTCCATAGGGGACCCATGACCCACGCCCGCCAGTCAGCGAGCACAAGAACCTGACAGGGGCCTGTGTCGTCGTTCTCGTATACCACTATCCTTTTAGTGTGTGCCTGGTTTTTAGTATGCTCCCGCTTCCCCGGGCTTCAAACCCCAGGCCATTTCTTCACTAGCAAACACAAAGTTACCGACTTTGCTATAATCTCTAAGTGTTACGTATGACTGATCATGGCACTTAAATATGGAGCGTCTAATTATTGCAGCATGCGTATTTTGTTTTACTGAAGTAAATCACTGCTGTACATCGGGATGCTGCTTGTAGCGTATTGTAAAATTCGTTTTAGTAGACTGAGAAATAAGTTCTTTAAAGCTGACTTAAAAAGAAAAGGTTACAACGAGCCTTCAACTGATGATTCTTCAGGACTTGCGATGTAATTTATCTGTAGACAATCTTGTTTTCATTATATGTTCAAGCCTTCCAGTTATCAAGTCTTGTTATTAAGTTTATTAAGTTTCGTTTGGGCTAATTTGAATATTTCCCACAGCTTTATGAACTGAGGTTAAAGCCGCGTGCAAGCGATTTATTGACGCTTGTGCGACACGAATCAGTAGAAATGTATGGGACATTTTTGATCTATTAACAATTCATCACTGTTATGGCAGCGTCGTAGGATTCTATGTTTGCTCACTTTACTACATAAGTAATGGGGTAATTGCATCACTCGTCGTTCTTTGAAAAATCGCTTAGAATTCCGAATCCAGCACGGGACCTCATGGATCTGGCTCTTGTTTTGTCAGTCATGCAATAAATCAAGCGTTATTTAAGTATACGCGACGTGGACTTTCGACAGCGTTAAGTAATCCCACCTTCAGAACACAAGGTCAAGCGTTTACGTCGCGTAACTTTATAGATGGTCTTTATTGCAAACCTTAAAATTGATCAACATTTTTGAAAAATCGATCTGAATATTCGACGTTATTACGTTGGACGTGTACGCGCGTAGACGTTGTCAGCTCAGATCGCCGACTCTATCTGCAGAATAAATAAGATCCAACACTGATGCGGCTATATTGTCCTGAACGTTAATTTACTAGTCGTAGTCCTTTCTCAACTGCCTCCTGTTGCCCGATAACGTAGACCATATAGTAGCGACAAAATCACCGTTGTTATTTTCCAGATAGTATTATTTATGATTATAGCTTAACCTGCCTATTTTGATCTGATAGATTATATATTACTTTTAAGCTAGGGGGGCCTAATGATGATTTTATCTGTTAAAAGCGCTCTCGTTCGTCTTTTACAGACATATTTCAGCGCTCTGGCAATTTTTGAAACGTTATACGCCTAGCTCCTGCAGCACCATGGCTTTCGAAAAACGAAAACTTAACCACTAGAAAGACTAGGTCATCTTTTGCTTCTGAACTCACTTCTCCTAGAGGTAACTCGACTGATCTTCATGCACAAGCTTCTAGAATACCGAAGTATTTTAGAGTGTTTTCTAACTGAACTTCAAACAGTATTCCACTTCAAAATTCAACCGATTCGTTTGTAAAAGCTTGATGTTCCCCATCCATAGAACGCGACTGTTTAGGATAGTGCACCATTGACATCTGCGTATGTGTTTGAGACCATTGACGAATTATCCACGTCCGTCCCTCTATGTATCGAATTTTCAAGACACCACAACGCGTCTCTAAGATCAGCAGACAACTGCTAGTGTGGGTTCGAACCCAGGCGTAGACAGACGGCTCGTTTCGTGCCGGGAGACAAACGTCTAATGGAATAGAAACACGTGGATCGACTGTGCTTGTAGCGTATTGTCGATTTCACATGTGGCTGACGCCACACGAACTGCTTCCTGCTGAAGAGGTCCAGGTTTAAGCATTTATTGTACTCTGATTGAACGGTAGATATACACAATTGTGCAAGCCTCGAGGCCTAGGTTTACAAGATGCTTAAGTCCTTAGGGGCAATTTGCAATGATGCATTACATAAAAGACTTAATAAACACACAAGGTCCAAAAATGGAATAGAGCTCATTGGCTGAGTTTGTTCACCCGTCGGGTTGTAGCATAATTATTTGATATGAAACGTAATTGCGGTACAGTATCACCGCTGTGGTGACCCTTGGAAAGTCAGCAGCGGAAATATATAAACTGGCGTATCTCTATATATCTGCGCAAGCCGGCACAACATGACTTGCTGATAGAATTTAACATTAAAAATAATTGTTTTTATAATTATATAAGATAATTAGATTATTACTAATTTCGTACAAATAAAGGAAATGTTTTTTATACCGGCCGACAGTCGTAGATCATAGTCTGATGAAATTCTGCTAAATTGGCAACGTTCATATTCACTCAGTTTCGCTAGTATTAGAAATATGCAATGTTTCTTTGAACGAACTTGCAACGATAACCCCGTTGCGTTTTTTGGCCAACTGAAATACTAAATTTTAAAGATGTGTCCATGTTTAACGGACAGCCTACTAAAGACAACCATCTTTACCCAACGCAGTTCACAGTTTCTGTTAACACAAAAGGTACCCGGCCTGTGGGTCCCTATCACAGGGCAGGCTACACGGAATTCAAAGTTGTTTGTAGCGAATTTCCGTAAAGGTGACCTCCTGCGCCAATCAAATGTCCGCCACAAATAGACCATGTAAACGAGCACATTATATATTCAATCTGAGCGTATACGCAGACGGAAACGAAGCGTGTTTATGCCCGAGTTCGAACCCAAACCACTGTCTGTCCTTAGGTTTAGCAAGCAAGAACGTGATCTGCCACATTATAATGAAGACGAAGCAACTTTTGCATACTTACGCTGAAATGGTAGATACATCTATTGAATCAGAGATCACGCTATATAATAACAACTCGTATCGCTAGATATATTTACATATTTTCATTTTCCCTATTTAAATTTAATACACTGTAGGCCAAGCCCTGTGACAAGGTTCCATGCCTTACGCCCTAGTAGCTTCCGTTGTTACAAGATATTTCGCAACAGTTGGTAAAAACCTTTCACCAAACAAAGTCCGGCCTTAGCGCCTAATCATGCACACTTTATTTCTATTTGCAAGGTACAAACGTGTGTACATGTGTACTATATACGCCACAGGGTACATGTAAAGGGGTTTGGTCCGAAACCGAATTAGACAGGCCATCTGATCGACCGAATGCAGATTTGCTTTTTTAAAACTACTAATGCAAAAGCGACAGTATCTATGGTTGCGTCATTTGTGCACAATGATACGCTCGAGCGTCTATAGACTGTTTATGCTTAAAACATGTCTTCTAAAGAAAATAGTACCCCGACCACTTAAAATAAGGATAATTTTTACGATTTGCATTTTGGAAAATTTGTAATTAGGCTATAATTGATTGGGTGAGGTCAAGCAAAGGTGCGACTATACTCGTCGGATGTTCCATAATGATTTTGTATTTTTAGAAACGATCGAAACGTTTTCAGTCCATTCCAAAAAAAAAACGTTTTTATAAGCGTCTGCTTTCAGCACATATAAAATAGATCTATCTAACTGTAAGTCAACTTGTCAAAAACTCAAATTCAAAAGGAAAATCCAAAGTGGACTATTTTGGAGAGGGACAAAAATCTGTTAATGGAGCCATTGGAAATTCAGGACGTAGATTGTCGTTAACTCAGTGCTTCTTGCCTAAAGCAAGCTAATCATTGGTTTGTTAGTACCAGCTGTTTTTTTTTTATTATTTATTTTATTATTTCTTTTTACAAAACAAAGCCTCCGGTTGGTTTTGTAAAAAGAAATAATGTTTGCTTCATGACTAAAGGTCGGTCTTGCATTACTTAATGGAAAGCAAATAGTTCAGCAAATCTACTATCTCCCTTTTCCTGGTGATTTGTAGTTGCCCGCGCTGTTATTAAGTTAATATGAAAGCAATTCTAGAGTGTTATTACTATTGTTATTATACTGATTTTATCTATAAGAGAGATTAAAGGAAATTAAGAATGGCCTCAATTAACCTGGTGGAAAAGTTGAAAGTTATCATGATAATCAGGAAAATTTAAGATAAATAATTTTGTAGTTTTAAGTTAGTAAGTAGATATTAACGATTACTATAAAATGAATAGTTAAAATAATCAATTCAACTAAGCTTTACAGGTATGAAAAATAAGAATTATCTCAGATAAGAATCGCTAATTAAACAAAAACATAGAGAGGGTAGCTAGTATTATCACATTTAGACTGATTAGCACGATATGATGACTAGCATGATAAAAATCTAGAATTTTTACTATTATGTATTGTTCTGTATATTATTTTTCATTATTAAATTTAATAATTATTAGAATATTCAAAGAGAAAATAACTATAATGATTTATATAAAATATAGATTTTGTAAATAAAAGATATAGCGATAATAATTATAGTGATAATATGGAGAATTCACTTTTTCTATTTTGAAGAATATAACTTACCTATCTTCCATCTTATACCTTTACTGATTTATCTAATAAAGGCTAAATTTGTTTATATTTCACTATTTTCGTAAATGCAATATTGAAAATTATTAAACTACAAATAAATTATGATAATAGTATGTGACAATTTCACTTCACCCCTATGCTTTTTCAACCCTGGTCTTTGTAGTTTTCCCCTCAATATACACCTAGTTTTTTAGATAGATAGATAGATAGATGTTTTATCAAATATAAATAATTCAGTTTTTCATTGTTGAATCTTCAACCGTGCTATCTGTTCAGGGCTGACCATTTGCCGAATTCTGGCTCATTAAATGTTTACACGCCGGACTGTCGTTCGTTACGTTAAATCGCGTCATAAGGAGTCTCATAGATCTGCGCGATGCTCCCAGAGCGGGATTTTTAGAAGCTTAGAAGTCCACTATTCATTTTACAATTAGTGATATTTATCTAGAACAAAGGCCGCTCGCTGCTTGTGACTGCAGCCCTTAATATATAAATGTTCGATCTCTTTGATTCATGTTCTCACCAGCTACGTTTACGCTGACTTATGTCCAGGCATGCACGTAGGGTAAACAGTGAACACAGTCATATATGGCAATGCCATTGCGAGATCGCTAAATGAAAAGACCCTTTCATTCACCTTTGATTTCTACCCCAACAAGAACTGGCCACGGCATTGCACCAAATGTTTTTGTGACGACGGATACATTGTGCAGAAGTGGCAAGTTACGACAAGTCCATAGCTGTTTATGTTAGCTTCTTACTACTTATATCAGCAAGCAAGATGACGATAATCTAACAAAAAGCAAGCTTCTAACCCAAGTAGACTTGCTGTACTTCTATTGGAATCATGTAGCAAATGTATTTCTGAATCACGCCGTGCAGGTTGTATCCTGATACCTCAAAGCACGGTATCAGTGATTAATGATCATACGTAGAAGCGATTTCTGTCGAATCTTATAGCATCCACTCGTTGAAATATCCATTACGGATTTTCATCTGAAATATCTCCTTTCTATCTATCTAGCGGGCACAATGTGTTTTCCAGGCAAAAAAGAGCCGCGTGATGCGTCTACGGGCACGGAAAAATCCGGGGAGCCAAGCGGAGTGGACGATGAATCCTTAGGAAAAGGTTCTTTCGCGGACAATAAGGGCAGCGACAAAAAAGAACGCGGCAGAAGGTATCTCAAAAGAAAGGACGCTGACAAACTACCGAAGGTATGTCTAAATTAGTAAAATTAAACATTACGCTTCGTAGAAATAAATGCGTCCTATAGATATGAACATATCTTAGATTATATTTCTAATAGGTTTAATGTCGTATAGTATAAAGGATTATCGACTGCGAAAAAATCATTAATTCTGATCATTCTGAACGACAATAAGCTGTCAATCACTTTCGTTTTTATTGCTCAACAATGATCTGTTGCTCTTTACCATGTTTTTTTTTCTAAACCTTCTTACATCATGGGTGTAACATTGGTCAAGAGACGGTGTTTGTACAAGGTAATAAGAATTGAGCTTATGAGTTACTGAACTCGTGTGGAGAGGCAGAACTAAAACAATTGTAAGGTTACCATAGCGATTCAATTTGTTTTGTCTGTTCCTAGCTTTGGATTTACTTTGAGATGCATGAGCGCGACCACACCCAATCGACTTCGTCCTCAGACACAGACAACGAGAGCACACATCTCGTCTTGTAAATAGGATTTTACTAACTGAACCATACGTGAGAATAAAATGACCTTTCTTTAATGGAAATCATGTTTTTCTTATAATATCCCTACATGGCCAAATGCTGTCGGTATACCACATCTTAGTCAAGAACTTCAGACCTCTCACCGACCGAAGGAGGCCTTCAGTCTCTTTCATCTGAAGATGAAATGTTAGATGCGCATCATAGGCGTCGCAGCCCGCGACGGAGCCGAAGAGCTTCTACGATTGGCGGCACGGACTCAAAGAGACGCTTATCATCCTACACAACCTCATCAGGAGAGTACGTTATATTAGTACTTTTATAAGCCGTAGCAATAGTGACAAACAATGAGAAACGCCTACAATGAAAATGCTCCTACTTTTGTATCTAGGGTTACATTCTCTGATTTTCATTTGATTGATGATCATCATTTGATTTTAGTACGGCGATCGACTTTGAGAATTCAGAGGATGAAGTAAAAGAGAATATACGTTACCACAAGAATATGATTGAAAGTATTAAAACGCAGCCGTGGTCGATGGCAAAAAAACTTCGGATGTTACGCACTGCCAAGGCATACATTAAGAAGCACGAGGGCGAACTTGCCCAGAGTAAACAAGCTCGTGATATCTTCGCAACGTACTCGAATTGGTTTCGAAATGTGAGTGAATTATCTCTTATCGCCATCTTTGCTACCCGATTTTAAGTAAAATGAAGAACAGGTTACTCTAGAGAAAAAAAAAAAAAAAAACATTACTTTATTCAAAAAGTATGTTATGCAATATAGAGAGCCTTGTCTTTTGTCAGTTTCTTACCTTAAAATGGTCTACGTAGCGTTGTTCTTGCTTCTGATTGATCTAATTGTCTGAAAGCTAGTACATTTTTGCTCCATAGTCAGAATAGATAAATACTTCATTAAATAGGGTCGTCCTCGTCATCGCTAATGCTACTTGGGAAAAACTTTATGGTTTGAGCGATTTATTCGAAAAAATTATTAAAAATGATCGAAGATGCCATATTGAAAAGTTGTATCGGAAATACAAATGAACCTTTTCGTAGAAGATCTAGGTTGCCTAACAGTGTTTCCGGGACGGCAGCTCAAAGAGTCTGAGTAGATTAAGTTAGGATGACAGTTAGACTGACTGAAATCAAATAACCAAATTATTGACAAACTTTAATAGAAGAACAATGAATACCGCCAGGTAGCTATTTTAAAAATTATGGCAATTGGAAAACCGGGTAACCACGCTATTGTAAGCGGACAATTGAACATACAACAAAACAATCAATCAGATAAATTAAATGTTGTAACGGAAAGATATAGTTTTTACAGCTGGCTTTCAGAAGAACTGCAAGTGGAAACAGACGTGATACCGTTTGTTTGGACTGGGTCTAACCAGAATCATATTAGTCAGGATAACAATAAGCCGATAAGATAACAGCAGGAAAACACAAGGCTTATTATAGCACTCCACGTGATAAAAATAAAAAAAAAACTTTTAGGTCCTTTTCGTAAAACCTCGGCGTTATATACATGATTCACTATTAAGCTGAATTAATTAAAACCCGGCTGTATAGAATCCTAGTAAACAGCTCAATCTCTCATTTATTAGATGATGATTTCTTGTCTTGTTTCTGTTTGCAGTCCCTGCACCGTTTAAAGCGGGAGATTGCCGACCTGATCATTACGTTAACTCCTTGGGAAATGCGCATTAAAAGAATTGAGAGTCATTTCGGCTCAGTGGTAGCATCTTACTTCATCTTTCTTCGATGGGTTTTCTGGCTAAATAGCTTTATTTCGCTATTTATCTGCTGTTTTCTAATGGTTCCCGAAGTTCTTCGAGGAGATGATGATATAACAGGTAGTATTAAACGCGTGACGTATTCCATCGTCTTAGTTATTCCGGATATAGACATAGTTCATCTCGTAATTGATGACAACGGGCACGAAAGGGTTTTTTTTTTTTGTCTTATTGATTTTTCTTATCTAGTTATAAAAGGTGTTAGCTCTATGATCTTTGCTTGCGCTGTTTCAGGAATGCGTAAAAAAGTGAAAGACGACGAGGCACAAAACGCTTTAAACCTGAAGGAAGTTTGGGAGTTCGAAGGCTATTTGAAATATTCGCCCATATTTTATGGTTACTACTCAGATCGTGAGGTGACCCCCGAAGGGTATCGTCTTCCATTAGCCTATCTGTTGTCTTCACTCGTCATGTACATGTTTAGCTTCTTCATGATATTAAGAAAGTACGTGATCGTCTTCACGCTGCAACACAATTAAGTGGGGCTTCAGTATTCTGTCACAAACATTTCGAAACTGACACTTAATCTATACTAAATCATCAAACATATTCATACTAGCGTTACTATTAGATATTATGTATAAAAATTTGGAGTTAAGTTAGTTGCAGATTTTGTTTCCTATAAAAATTAATAATGATAATTTCACATAACGTTAAAGTGAGTTTAAAATATTACGAAGTGGTACCTAATAAGCTGTGTCCGAAGGTTGCCTTTGGATTCCCTTGGTAGGTTGACAAGTTAGTGGTACTTTCACCTTCCAGGAACTGTGAGTGCTAGGTTAAAAAAGATCACTTTTTCCATGCTCTGAAAATAAATATTTTCTTTATTTGGTATGCCGCACGATCAGTATTGGCAAAGTGCCCTATATTCAGAGCGTTGTAGACAATATAAGCAACAGACTTTAATTTGACAATTGCTTTTATCGCGCTATCGGATTTAGAAAAAAATTTAGTAGATATATGTATATGTAAGGCCTTTTTGGCCTTGCACGTATTGGTGCAAAAAGGACACCGATAAGAACGAACATTCGTCAGGTCTTAGCTGTCTATTAAGTTTCGGCAACGTTTCAAAGCACCCGGAAAATTTGAAATTAAAAATAAGTTGAAAATGTCGGGAAGCGATCTGCGGCCTAAGTAATAGATATCCTCACAACACGACAAGATAGCGTTCTGCGCCATAGGATTGCCTTAATTCTTTAACGAAGAATCTGTTTATATTAATCTATTGATCATGATGATTCGTTAGAACCATAGTCTATTTAGCGTCCAGAGGAATTCACTACTAACGGTACATGTGTATGTAGCACTGGGGCTCAGCTTCGTACACATTGCCTGTATGCTGGATGAGCCTTTAGATTTGAACCCATACACACGGTTAGAAATATCGAGGCCATTTACAAAATGGCAGTTAACGAGGCTGATGATACACAATATTATTAGCTTTCATTTTACTTATAAACTTTGTTCTTCTGCCATATCCTAATTCGTGCTATCTACTGTAGAATGACATCGAACAACAAACAATCGAAAATGATTGAAAAAGAGGATGAATGCACGTTTGCTTGGAAGTTGTACACCGGCTGGGACTATATGATCGGAAATGCTGAGACCGCTCACAATAAGGTCTCATCATTAGTAATGAGTTTTAAGGTAAGAAACATGGACTAACAAACTTAATATGCAGTTAAATCGTTATTTAGTAATCTATTTTACTTAAAAATGTCGCCGTTTTATTCATTTATATTTGGTATTGAATAAACGCTTAACTGAATGAAATTCTGACTCGAGACACCACATATTAGCACTCAGTAGTTTTTTATAATTTCTATATTCCGCCATATGCATATA